CCACCATCTTTCTTTTTATGAATAATAACTGGAGGTGACCATGGCGAATTAGAAGGTCGAATTTGATGTGCTTGTAACATTTTATGAATTTCATTTTGAAGATCAGATCGTTGTTGGATTGTTCGTGAATATGGCCGAGAACTGATTGGAAGACTATCACCAGTATTAATCGTGTGTTGAATGGGTGTATTTGCTTGTGTAACTTGTGATATATCGAACAATTTCGCATGTTGTTGTAGAATAGCACGAATTTGTCTTCTTTCATCAGAATCAATAATATGATTAGTTAATTTATCAATGATTTCCCGTGATCTAAAAAGAACTGGTTGAATTTCAACGCTGTTAATAACATAGTGATGGAATGAGGATAACGAATTAACGGCATCGGGCAATGGGAATGAATCAGTTTGATGAGGCACATGCGTTACTCGACCAAGACGAGTATTCGTTGGTACTGTTTTAGTATAATCATTGGGATTATATATTTCTAAATATGTTGTATAGTTTTGGATGTGTAGTAAAGATGGCGATAGTATAATAGATTGTTCAAGTTGATCATCAATATCCGAGTGAAAATAAACAGTGTCAGCTGAAGCTAATTCGACTTTTGCTTGAACCGTACATGATTGACATGGAGGTATTTTGACGGAATTAATTAATTTTACATCCAAGGTTAAATAATCAATTGATGCATCATATGGAATAATTATGCGGCCAGTAGATGAACGTATAGAAACTTGATTCGTATCATAATTGATTTATACGGCATTTTGAGTACACCAATCGGCACCAAGTATAAAATCTGTGTTTAAATTTTTGACAACGAGAACATTCAAAGGTGTAAAAATCTGGTCAAATTTGAGCCATAAATGAACTTCACCCACTATCTTAAGCATAGTGTGACCATCACCTAATTGGGCGATACGATCACATGGCTGTAATGAGTAATGATGTATTTTAGCAAGTGCACGTTGGGTGATAAACGACCGAGTAGCTCCGGTATCTAACATAGCACGTAAAGGTATGCCATGGACATTGATTTTAACAAAGATCAACGAAGGATTGGTTCGTGGAACGGTCTGAGGAGTTAAGCGTTGCTTAATAACTTGTTGAATAGCAGGTGATTGAGAATGAGCAGGTACAGTTGTGCGTTCTTTTTTATGATAATGTGAATATTGTAAGCGGTTGAATGGTGGACGATATTGTGGATTTTTTACAGAATGATTAAGATTATTGTACAAAAAATAGTATGATGGTTGGAATGGATGGGAGTCACTACCACCATTGTGCTCCCTTAATATTTTTTGTAACCCAACAATTACGGGCTATATGGCCCACTTTATTGCATTGATAACATCGTAAAGATCGTGATGAATAGGCCTTGTTGAAATAAAGTTTAGAAGATGTGTTAGACGTGTTGTTGAAATGCTCTGTGTTATCCATTGCGACATTGGAATGAAATGTATTATTAAATGCAGCCGTTCCAACAATAGCTGAATCGGTTTCGTTAACTGACGTTGTAACTAAGCGATCGAGTTTCTTCTTTTCGTGCATATTCCAAAAATTCTGCTGGTGTACGAGGAGTTTGACGTAATACTTCTTTCATTAGAGATCATTTTATACCGTGATATAAATGATCAATTTTGGATACATCAGTCATATTGGGATCGACTATTTTGCATAATTTCATAATATTAGTATAGTATTCATTAACAGGTTCATCGATACGTTGTTGACGAGTTCGTAAGCGATGTGATGCCAATTGTTTCAATTCTGGAGACGAATATGTATGAAGGAATTCTGCTTTAAATACACTCCATGATTCGAACGTTGTATTATTTTCAAGATACCATTGCTTAGCAGGGCCTTCGAAAAATTTAGGTATACTTTTGATTGCTTGCGATTCATTAATATCAGCCATACGAAACGTGCTTGTAAGTTCCTTAAGCCATTCATCAGCATTTTGATCAGGTTTGCCTGAATATTTGGGTATTTGTTCTAAAGATTTACTGAGTAAATTTGCAGCTGTCTTTTCTGCCATAATATGTTCGTTGGGACGATGAGCAATACAATGAATTGATGTATTATCAGAAAAATCAATATCAATATCAGCTAATCGTTGAAATTCTGCTTGAAAAATTCGTAATGCACCTTGTCATGTTAACATACATCAATAACTTGAACAAGAATTAAAACCGGCTAGTGCACCAATTGTTATAACTTTATCTCGTTTATTCTTGATCTTTTCTTTTATCAAACAAAATTCGAATGAATTCACCCAAAAAACAAACAAAAAAAACAACAAAAAAATGTGTTCTCTTTCTCTTTCCCTTCGCCATTCTCTACTATCATTTATCCACCATGACGAATATCATTAGACGAATAACAGAACAGTTATAATCCAATGTGAGATGATTATATCAGCATAGATATGGCATTCTTATGTCATGAGAGACATCTCCTGACATAACAGAACTATCGTGCGCTTATTTTCAGCAAGAATTTTATGAATAAGATTGAATTAGTTTTGTTTCAGAGACGGAATATCTTTGATATTTTCCAATCACGTAACTGTTACAGGATTAATAGCAGACTCTAACTCACTCGAGTGATCATCATAGCAACGATGGGAGCTCTAGGGTGTGACTTTAGTTGTCGGTACGTGTTACTATGGGTATGAGTTATTTGTTTCCATAAGAAAACTAACACCCTCACCAAAAATATTATATGTACGTTTAAAGCGAATTCTTTAGGCTCTCCTCTCTGGCCCTCTCCATTTCAGACATTAACAATAATATCTTTTTGAGTAGTTTACAAAAGGCTACAACATTTCAATTTCTTTGTTGAAACGTGAATGGTCAGAATTAGTTTTTGAATTCTTTAGATAGCGTGTTTCTTTTTCATATTCGTGCCAATAGGAATTTGTATTTCGGATGTCAATGATTGTGAGGAGGGATGAATCGATTGGTCACAGTTGTTATATAATTAATATTAAAAGCTTGACTTGATCAAGTTATAATTTTCATAAGAGGTATATTCAGATTTCTGAAAAAGGAAATGACAGAAATTTCCGTTATCTTCAAAGCCATGTATAGTCAAATAAACGTACTTTATGAAATTTTGTAGAGCACTCTTCAGAAAATTAGAAATTACAGAAGTTGGCGATTTCGGACATTATCGATTTTTTTTAATAACAGAGTTTCCGAGATATCCTGTGCAAAATTTCCAAATCTTCCGCAATCCCCTTTTTTGGAAATCTAAACACTGCTACTCAACAGCGGCAGACTCCGATCGATCAATCTGATTCAGAACGTGTGACACGGTGCAATAGTAAACGTTTGATTCACGATAAACTCCTTGTCCTAATGCTTCTATGTCACTAGTAATATGTTCCAACTGGTTCTTGAAGGTCTACCGATGGACATTGTAATGGAAACGGCAGAAGTTGCAGTTATAACCGTGACAAACGGGAATGCCATCCCGGATACACTGAATTGTAGAAGGAGGAGATTGAGACATTGAATTTCTTTTAGAATGCTTTCTACAACAGTAACAGTACAGCTGTAATTGATAAATATCAACTTGGCCTACATCGGTAAATCGATATTGATACTATACCTAGCTGTGATTTTAAGAATTATTTATAAGAATTTCTCAAACAGCTTCAAAGAGTACCTATAGAAATTGTTCAAAGAAATTTTTGGATTCTAGAAAATTGCACAAAGGAATCCAGAAAACAAAATAAAAATTTCACTACTTTTAAATCCATTTTTTATTTTCTATATAGTATAATATAAGGTAGTGAGTTACCTATATAGAACATAGCATGGAGAATATATTTATATATATTCGAGAGGAGATAAAAGAAAGAAAAAGAAACAAATAGCTTGTCATGAAGGACTGCTGACCTCTGACATTAGCAATTAGAGATATTAGACCATACCACCCTTCTTGGATCCAGAAAAAGCTTTTGTTTACGAAGACTTTTTCTTTTTTTTATAACATCATAACCAGAATAATGAAAGAAGAAAACAAAAACAGAGAAAAAAATGTTTATTCTTATTGTTGTTCGAATGACGAGATTGACGACGATGTAAATAATAATGACATCGATCAAATATATCACCAGATAAATCTCGATCTACTTCATGTATGAGTGTCGAATTTTTTTATACCAATAATTAATGCTGAATCGACAACATGGTGAATCGGGTATAAATTAGACGTATTAACGCATGATGATATCGATGTAAACGATAAGTATTGTTACGATTCCGTCGACGTCGTTTTCGTGGTATAGGTTACTCATCAGCTTTAACCGGGATAAGTAATTTTGATTCATCGTCAGAAATTGGTTCATATGCTGGAGCACTGTTGGGGATAGGTACATGACATTGGTTCAAACATATTTCATCTTTATCACCATCATCTGAAAGAAGTTGAAGACCACTGATAATAATTTTTCAAATTGATGGTTGATTGATGTCGGTGATTGTGATATTATGATGAATTGATAATGGTGATGTTACTATTTGCTATTTTCTTAAGTGACCAATATTTAATAACAGGACGAACTAACAGTGTGGTTGTAAAGTAGTCATAGATTGCATACAAGGTGAAAATTACAGAATCTAATTCTATCGCCCAATGATTAAGAGTTTCATTTTTATCAAGAAACATATTATAAGTAAAAAAAAAGCTTGTTGTAATGCCCATTTTTTATCACGATGATAACGACTGCTTTGATGACAAATACATTTGGAAGATAATCATGGAACAGTTGTAATACAATTAATACCATTTACAATAGCATTTGTATTAATAGACGAGATGCGTGCCTCACAGTGAGATAATGCTTATTCATACCATTTACTAAAATTCAATTGAGTATCATACATCAATGCTTGAATAGACCAATTAAACAATTGATCAGACATAGCTTGATATAGTTCTTTATACACTGTAAATGTTTCGAAATTCTACTTTTCAGAAAATCAACTTTGAAAAAGTTGAATTATTTTCTAGTTCGTAGAAATTCAATTTGATTCTCGAAAAAATTCATTTTTCTAAATAATGGAACATCAAGACTGATTATAAATAAAATTCAAAAATCGATATCGGTATGGGGAAATGATTGTATTAAGTAGGACATATCCCTCATTTCTATTTACAAAAAAATATTTAATATAAATCATTACCACATTAGACACGTATAATTACATGATTTAGTGCTTTGAAATAAACTCATATCGGGATCCAATGCAAAGATCTTTTTTAAAATTAAATCGAGTGTGGACGTGGGCAGTAGTATCGAACATGAAACGTGAATATCTAGCCTTCAACCTTCAACACTAGATAGACCCCTCCTCATATGTGTACTTCGTCACACCCACACTAGACACATATGTGATATTTAAAACTTGAAGGTTGCAGGTTGAAGCTTGAAAATTGAAATTTCTCCTTGGTCTAAGAGAAATAAAAATAAAAACTTGTACTCCAATATGAATATATCTTTTACTTGCGCTCTGTTTATAAATATATTTTTTTCTTACGTTCTCTGTATATTTTTTCCTTTCTTTCCATATGCATATACCTTTTCTTGCGTTCTGTAACAGTTCGTGAATATATACGTATGAAAATAATTTCTTTCGTTCAGTGAAAGAAGCTCGCAAGCGAACATTTGGTCGCTGTAGCGAATACGGTCTAAAATGTCCTTTCAAAAATGTCCTTTCAAAAATGTCCTTTCAAAAATGTCCTTTCAAAAATGTCCTTTCAAAAATGTCCTTTCAAAAATGTCCTTTCAAAAATGTCCCTGGTTTTTCGTCCTCAGAAAAAATGTACCCCAATATTTCGTCCTTGAGAAATTGTCCCTCGTTAAAATGTCCCTTACTCTAAAAATGTCCCTTACTATAAAAATGTCCCATATTCTTTAGCTTTAGTTATTGAACTGTGTGTTACTGAAACATAGATGACGCCTTAAAGAAAGAAATATATCGGCGCATATTGTAGAGGATAGAACTACCGCATATATAATTCAATAGAAACGAGGGAATATATCACTTAAATAACATTCGTTCTTTTGCATGATATTTTTTCGTAATCGTAAAAACGCATTTTTAATGGGATCCAATAAGTTAACAACGATTGATGAAACTGAATGTTCATCGTCATCTCAATCACCTGAAAATTCATTGTTACAACCAAGTCCAACTAAACCAACAATTACAAAAACACATTCGAATAAAGGAAAACTTATGCTAATCGTTAATGGTTATAATTTCCAATTTAAAAATTTTAATAGAAAGAAAACGGTTAAATTTTGGCGATGTACAAACAGAAGTTGTAACGTAATTTTGCATACAAATCCTGATGATACATTTGTAAAATTTTCCGGAACAATTACTGATCATAATCACTTACCAAACCCGGCTGATTTGGAACTGCGAGATTTGAAAAGATCGATGAGAACAAGAGCTACAACTGAATTAGTACCTTTAAAACATATTGCCGAACAAGAAATGCGTAAAGCTCTGTTAACCGGTGAAGCTCTTGCTGTTTTGCCTGGTGCGAATGATATTGGTATTTTTGATGTTCGTTTAATATTTCGATCCTTGTCTTTTTATGTTTGCTATAGGTCATACATTAAAACATCATCGACGCAAAATGACTCCTACAATTCCAAAGTCATCTTCATTTTTTATTCCGGATTTATACAAACAAAATTATAACAATAAAGAACGACTTTTGCTGCATGATAGTGATGATTCCACACTGGAGCTCAATGAATTAGGAAGTGTAAGACCAGCAGGAAGAGTTTTAGTTTGGGCATCCGATGTTCAATTAAAATTATTACTTGATAGTGAACGATTGTACATGGATGGAACTTTTACTACGTCACCGCCACACTTCGATCAAGTTTTTATTATTATGTCTATTTTACATGGTACATGTAAGTTATCTAGCTTAATAAAATTTTTTACATATTCATTTCTTTCATGTACTGATTATTTTAATTCAACTAGGTGTGCCGGTGGTTTATGCACTTCTTCCTGATCGCAAAGCTATTACATATATTTATTTATTCAACGTTTTATTTGCTTCAGCAAAACAGTTTAATAAAAAACTTGATCCGCAACTGATCATGACCGATTTTGAACCAGCTGTAGAGAAAGCAATTCGACTCGAAGTATATTTTTCTTCAAAGTTATCAACAGTTTTTGATTGAAATGTATATTTATTTTGCCTTATAGTTCACCGAAAAAACTACACAGAAAGGATGTTTTTTCCACTTTACACAGAGCATTTACCGACATGTACAATAACTCGGTTTATCATCTGTCAACTTAGATAATATGATGATTCGCAGTGCTATTAGACAAATGATGGCACTAGCTCTTGTTCCTGAAGAATATGTTCCATTATTATTTTCTAATCTCGGTCAGGAGCTTGATGAATCTGAACGTAATGAATTAGCTGGTCTACTCAAATACTTCGACGATTATTGGATGTGTCGTATACCAATGTGGAACTGTTTCAAGATTCCTGAACGAACGAATAATTTCTGCGAAGGTAAACGAGTAAACGAAAAGAAACACTTAGTTTCACGTTATAACTAAGATACACATATTTATAGGGTATAATAATCGATTCACAACACGTTTAAATAAAAAACATCCGAACATATGGGTCTTCATTGATGCGATTCAAAAAGAAGTACATACTGTTCATAACCTCATTTTTCAAATTAATAGTGGAATGAAACCTCGGGCCAAACGACCCAAGTCCAAAATTGTTGAACAACGTATGAAAGAATTATATGAACGATTCGACAACAAACAAATTGATCCGCAACAATTATTGAAACAACTTTCTTTTTTTGTTGCAAATGGAAAATAAGTTAGCATTTTATTGGTTTTTAATGATTATATCACGTGATTCATTTTATGAATAAAAGCAGCTCATGTTTTACAGAAAAGACATCTTGAAGATGAAAGACATTTTTTCGGAGGACAATATCACTATGGACATTTTTTCCGAAGGACATTTTTTCAAGGACGAAAAATCAGGGACATTTTTGAAAGGACATTTTTTTCAAGGACATTTTAGACCGTTACCGCTGTAGCTACTCAACTCATTACCCACCTTTCAGTAGACGATATAATAGCTACTATTCAGCTAATTACTTATCTTCGTTTTATCTTTGTTTTTTACTTTTTTCATGTTTTACAATAACTCTTTTTTCTTTCACTGTTTTGGATCTTAGCAACCTTTTTATAAGGAAAATAGGAGATTTACTTCCCTCCTTGAAAAGATGAAAAACATAAAAGAAGGTTTTTACGGTTTCTTTTTCGAGAAAAAGTGATAGTGTCATGTCTAGCATACGTCTGCTATGTGTATTTGGTATTTTAATTGACATCGTTTGTTGTTCGCTCTTTTTCTTCATTGGATGCCTTTTTTTCTATTTTTCTGTCATCTTCAACATGGCGGAACGAACTGTTAATATAAAAAATGGTCATGGAGAAGAATTGATTTTCTTCCATTTTTTGTTATCTTTTTCTTTCTGCCAGTCAACAACTCAAATAGAGTAGTTTCTCTATTCTCACTTTTTATTCATTACGTCTAACTGTTGACATAAATGCATGACGTGGCTGTCATTTTATTGGTTTTGATACTAGCAATCGTTTTCTACAAGACAAAATCTTGCTTTGTGTACACTAAAATAAGTATGATACTAATATGGAACTTCAGTTGTAAAAGTCGAAAGCCTTTTTACCACTTGGATACCGCTGTCTATAGGCTGAAGACAAGCAGAACGGTTTTTTCCCGTTCTGTCGTATCGAAAAACAGCGGCGCAACGAACTATGCACTAATATGGCTATATCATCCACGTTTTATATACGATAAAATATATATGAATACAACTGGTACCTGACGATCGAAAGTAAGAGAGAGTAATTTTTCGATTTTTCTCTCTCTTTAGTTCCTTAGTTGGGTTGCTAGATTACTATTACTGATAATCAGTAATCATGATGAAAAGTAACACGAGTAATAGCAGTATTTTTTATTACTTATTGGATTTATACAATAATTTGCTTTATTGTTGGTACCTTAGTGATACTAAAAGTTTTATTTTTTCTCATTAACGAACTATGAATTATATTGCGTACAAATTCATTGCTACATACTTTTACTACTTTAAAACTTTGATTATTTATTATACTGATAATAAAATAATCAAAACTTCAAGATCATAATAGTAGTTAGTAATAAATTGGCATTAAAATAATTCATTGTTCATTAAAAAGCTTATTATCGCACCCCCTTTGAGGCTAAAATGTGGAATTCACATATGATTTTTCGCCTAATTTACTTCTTATACATAATGCGTGGTGCGAAATTTGCTACAAGAATATCGATCGGTAGGAAAAAAAATGTCTTATTTAGTTTTTGCATACTTGCTAATATCTGTAATGTATGGTGGTGTCTGTAAGTGAGTGTAAGGTGGGGGTTTCTGAGGGAGGGGGTGTAAGGCGGTCTCCAAGGGGGTGGGGAGCCGCAAAAATCTCGCTTTTAAACTTACACTTACCATTTTCTTCGAAAATATATGTGAGTTCCACAAAAGGAAAGGTAAAACACCTTGCATCATTAAGATGCTAAAAACAAATCGAATTACTATACAAAAGTAATGAGTAATAAGTTAATCAAAATTGTGACCCATTACCAAGTAAGCGCAATGAGAATTAATAGTAATATAGTATCCTATTTCTTGTAGCACACTTTGTTTTCAGTATAATGCTTGTTCATCAGCACCGCCTGGATAATTGGACTGCCAATAATGAACGGAGCAGCAAGGATGGAAGAAAACTCTATCCGAAAGATAAAAAGGCTGTAACATACTCAACTACAGCATTTTTGACCCCAAAAAAAACTACTAGATGTGTTTCTGACTCTGCTTCGTCCAAACTTCGTTGGTGGCTTGTCCTTCCTTGTATATTACTAATTACATTGGCCTCTGCGCCCGACGGCCTAATCATGAACGATTTTATTGTGCGTCGCTATGAAAGATACCACGGACTGGACTTCTCTGAAAAGGCTCAAAGGATCGCATGTCGCGAATCATCGACTTCAACACCTGGTTATTGGTATCTTCAACAATACTCACTCACCGGAGCTGACTATAACATCGTGCAGCAGGACGCAGCAAAATTCAACGTGAAAAACTCATTCGCAACGCTGATTCCTTCAGTACTCGCCATTATTATACTCGGATCAAACTGCGATACGATCGGTCGACGTCCGCTTCTTTTCCTACCATTCGTTGGCAAAATAGTTCGATATTTACTCATGCTAGTAATCATCGCTGGAGATCTCTCTGATACGTGGCTACTGGTATCTCATTCATGTGAAGCATTATTTGGCTCAGTTGGCATCGTCATGTTGAGCGCATTTGCTTACATAACCGACTGTACAAATGAATCTGGTCGAACACGACCATTTTTTTTGGCCGAATTGATCATTTTACTAGCACGTGTCGTTCCAGTTCTCGGCATTGGTTTATGGTTACAGCATCATCTTTATACGATCCCCACAAGCAGTTGCCTTGCATTGAGTATCATCGGCGCACTTTACGTACTCTTCATACAACCCGAATCTGTGCCAAATATGTAAATCTTTACAGAGGTCACCTTTTATTTCAGCTTGACTCATGTTGCCCTAATTCCGAAGAATTTGTCGGTCTTTTCCTGGAAATTTGATCGCAATGAACGAGATTTCTACAATACTAATTTTATTTCTTCCATTGATTTTTCGATAATTTTATATATCATTTAGAGAAAGAAAACTGATATGCTTCTCTCGGGAAGCGAACCCATATGACACGAATACTGGTTTTCCAGACCAGCACTCTAATCATTGAACTATCAAGCCACGACGAAGGCATTACTTTCTTTTCTAAATGATATTAAATTATCAAAAATCACAAGGAGGAAAAGAATTAGCCTTATACAAATTTCATATATTAACTCCTTTACAATCTTTCAAATAACATTTTGATAAATGCGTATGGCAAAAGTTTCACGAGAAATTGACTTTTTTCTGAATTTTAAAGAGAAAATCTACGGAAAAATATGGTAGTCAAATTTTGCTGCAGTTTTATTTTCCCTTTAAAACGATGAAAATCAATGATCTCTACCTAGTTCCTATCAAAAATTATTCTAAAAATACTCACCTTTCTTTAAATTTGAAATGGGTATTTTCTAAGGTTTCGAAAATTACTCAAGACTATAGTAATAGGTTTCCAAAAACGAACTTGAATCGTTGATAGTGGCTAGACTAATACTTTGACATGGGAATGTTCCTCAAAAGTATGCAAAATCGTTTTGTTTATTTCATTTATCTGTTATCGGTGAAGCTCTACATGTATGATCGTGCGTTTGCCTGAGCCTTAGTTACCGACAGTCACGGAATTATACAATGAAATCTTTATGCGTTCCACTGAATTGCTATTTTTAGAGCAGAAAAATTGAGATCTATCAATGTTTTAATTCAAATTCTTTCTAATACCTCAGAAATCAAGTAGCTCTACCATCGAGCATGCATGATTAACGTGTCACGTGTGCAAGTGATTAACAAATCTCCTTGTATTCATTCTGCAGTTGTACAGGGAAGAGCTTTTTATTTACAGTAAAATATTTGTTATGTTTCGGATCTACCTATATACAACACGCTTTGGTGATTTTTGCCATAAATCTTTCATTCTGAAGAGTTCACATTCTTTCTCTTTATTCAGATTATCTCGTAAATATTTTCTTTTATATTTCGTTTCAAAATTGTACCCGCGATCAACTAGAACAGATTGCAGAAAAACAGGATAAAAACATTTAGCTGCTGGAATATTGTCATTAAAAATAACTTCTTTCTTGAATTTTATGTTGTAAGCGACTTCTCGCTTCTCTTTGAGTATATGATACGTAGTTGAGCTGCTATTATTCTTCGTTCCATTCCTCGCTACATAGTTATGCATATTGTATCTTTTCTCGTTCTGTGAGGAGGA